TGCTGGCGTAATCAACTGTACTCCACTGTCTTGAGTGTCCTCCGAGCTGTGTTTTGCGACTCCGGATTCCACAACAACACAACTGAGGGGACTAGGCAGGAGCAGCAGATAATTAAATATGCACCAGTATAACTAGATCCTTTACCAGAAATGACATATAAGGAAGAATTCAACTATTTTATGTTTGCAAGTCAGATGCTGTCAAGCAGACTGCCGTGTATGATCCGTAAGCCTTAAAAAATTTTAACCTGAAGGCAAACAGAAAGATTCGGTAAATTTTAATTTTCCAAAAGGTCTCAGAAGAAATTACCAGAAGTACCCTCCAGTTTATAAGGCACAGTTGGACAATCCATTTACCCCAAACTACCTGTGTTTCGAGGCAGTGATGTGAGACCATGGTCTGTGGTTGTACCCCCTCCATGCAGAAGCATCACTCTTCACGTGGAAGAGTGCATAAAGAGAAGGAATAGACTCACCTTTCATTATTGCATCAGCTACTGGCTTTGTCATACATAGTATTTTAAATGCCTGATCACAATTGTACAACAACAATAACCATACCAATATTTATTCCAAAAGGTAATCATATGCTCCATGTTGTTGTCTGACTCTTTGAGACCCCATGGACTGTAGCCCACCAGGCTCCTCTGTCCATGGAACTTTTCCAGGCAAGAATACTGGAGTGGGTTGCCATTTCCTTCTCCAGGGGATCTTCCCAATTCAGGGGATGAACTCGCGTCTCCTACATTGGCAGGCAGATTCTTTACCACTCTGCCACCTGGTTCCCCCTTAATTCCCAACCCAAGGATTTCCATTTCATGTTCTCCACACCAAGGAAGCTAGGAAGTTAGGCCTTGAAAAGAGAGGGAGTGAGAGGTGCCATAGAACCAGACCACACCCACGCCCAGTCTCCCCTGTTCTCCCAGCTACCAGGGTCAATACCCCAGCTTCTGCCCGGGAGAGGAGCTGATGAAGCTCTGCCTCAGATATGCAAGTGGAATTTGAAACAGCTGACTTGAGTTTCAATAGCCTAAGTGACTGAACCTGCCCAAGACATTACAAGGGGCAGGAAAGGCAACTGGCATAGAATGGTGGGGAAGTGGTGCTTAGAAAATAGAGAACTGAGCTGAGGTTCAATGAAAAGGCTGCACTTAGATTCTTGTCTGGACCACAGTTCCCCCTCCTCCCCAACCCCCCTCCTCTCTGATACCTGCAGTAGTGTCCTGAGACAGCCCTGGAGCATTTTCTGCTATGCTTCCATTTGGAAAACAGTCAAATGTGCAGGCTCCTTAGCATCCCAAGGGAAGGCAACCTCTTCTTGTCCTTTGACTCCAGACTTCCCGTTTTTCCCTGGGAGCCGTGGTCCTTAGGACAGGGGAATAGTAGAAACCCAGCACCCAGGACTGCCTATCACTTAAGACGTTTGTTCTTTCAGATAATTCATGAGAGCAAGAGAGAGGATGGCTGAGAGAATAGCCATTCCCCATTGCGGAGCCCTTCTACACCACAGCGGGAAGGACTCTAACCAAGAACAATGGTCTCCAGAGATGCACAGGCGGGCTGACGGAACTGCGACAAAGCGATTCCTCTGAGGCACTGTGTGTGTTTATGGCTGGAGCTCTGTTTTGCTAAATTACTTAATGTTTATACAGGTGTTCTGACCCTTCCTTGACAGACTTTGGATGCCCCAGGTCTGTGTTTGTACCTCCAGTTGACTACAATAAATTAGTGTTAGATTAAAAAAAGACAAAGAAACCTTCCAGGCCATCAAACAAAACATGAAAAATGAGTGTACTCAGGGATTATACTGGCTAAACCATATCCCAAGCCACGCCAGTGGACAACGGCCATATGTTCCTCCCTGATTTTCCTGGTCAGAAAAACTGATCCGCAAAGGCCAGTCTGAAACTGCTGTTCCCCCAGACAAGGGGGATGGGGCACAGTCCTGGCGGGGGGAAGCCCTGCTCCAGTGGGTGCTGCTCACCCACCTGCTGCCCCCACTCGTGTCTCATTCCCCATCAACAGCAGCATCATCAGAATTCAGTTCCCATCTCAAAGCCCTGGTTCCCATGGAAAGAAACCAGGGGTCTTCAGAGAAATGGTCATTAGGATAAGGAATAGTTAAGGTACAGATGAACTTGGGACATCTTGTTTTGCCAGAAAGCAAGGAAGCTATCAAAGACTAATTGTGTTAGCAGATCACAGAATCTACTAAATAATTGGCCTGTGCTCTTCAAAAATGTCAAGGTTGCGAAAGATCAAGAGACTTGGAAGCCATTCCAAATTACGGGAGACTAAAGAGACAGGATAATTAAATGCAATGCTTAACCCTGAATTGGATCTTCAAGTAGAATTTTTTTTTTTAAATAAAAGACTCGGGATGACTGGCACATCTTGAATAAGATCGTAGACTGAAGAATAGCATTGTATTGATGTTAATTTTCTGGTATTGACCATTGTTCATAGTTATTTCAGAGCATGTCCTTGTTCTTAGGAAACATACTCTATCGTGTGTGGCTGCTCCGTCACCCCGTCTTGACTCTTTGTGACCCCCTGGACGGTAGCCCGCCAGGCTCCTCTGTTCGTGGGATTTTCCAGGCAAGAATACTGGAGTGGATTGCCAAGTCCTCCTCCAGGGGATCATCCTGACCTAAGGATCGAACTCATGTCTCCTGCGTCTCCTGCGTCTCCTGCGTTGGCGGGTGGGTTCTCTACCACTTGAGCCACCAGGGAAGCCCCCATATACTATTGTATTTGCAGGTAAAGGAACATTATACGTGCAGATGGGAGGGCGGTTCAAGATGGAGGGGACATATGAATACCTGTGGCTGATTTGTGTTGATGTATGGCAGAAACCAACATAATATTGTAAAGCAAATATCTTGCAATAAAAATTTTTTTAAAGTTATATATATGAAAGAGAAAATGATTAAGCAAAAGTGGTGAGATGCAAACAACTGGGGAATCTACATGAAGGGTCTGTGGGAGTTCTTTGTCCTACTCTTGTAACTATTTTGTAAATCAAACATTATTTCAAAATGTAAAAAACTTACCAAAGGGGAAAAAGGCTCACAGGAGCCGATGGAAAATATTTTCTCTCCGGTTCAAACTGTATTTCAGTGACAGGGAAGAACTGATAAAAGAAAGTTATTTGTAGAATTTCAGTAACAAGTGCAGGAGGGATTCAGAATTAGAAAACCACCATCTTATCAACCCCTAAGGCAATAAGCATCAATGCTAAAGCCATGAGGTGGGATCCTGGAGGGATAAAACTGCCTCCACCCAGGTTCACTGGCCAGTCCTGGCAGCGCTAAACATGGTACCACCTGTGAAGAGTTCTGGCCAAAACCAACGCACTTAAATATGAGAAGCCCCTGGGGCTAACCACCGGGTCACAGGAAACACGGGGTGTAACGAACTAGGGAAAACTATACCACGAGGTCCCCACCTGCCAAATCCAGAAGGTGGAAGATTTCCTAAGACATATGAATGACCTGGTTTCTTTAGCAAATCAATGTGATTTCTTTTTAAATGGAGGAAAAATTATTATGTAAATAATTAGAGGCACAATCATTAAATGCAATGTGTAGCCCTTGTTTGGATGCTGATCTGAAAAAAAAAAAAAAACCAAACAAACAGCTAAGCAATCAGATTAGATGATACTGAGGAATTATTAATTTTATTAAGTGGAACAGTTGCACATGATTTTTTTTCAAATACTCATTAAAAATGCATGTTGATGTATTTATGGGTAAAATGACATAATGTCTGTGTTTGGCTGAAAAAGACTGGCCGGGGTGAGGAGAGGAAATGAAATAAGATTGGCAAAACATTGGTAATTGTTGAAGCTGAGTGATTAGCTCAGAGGGTTTTGTTTTGTTTCTGTAATTTATTTTTTTTAATATAGTTGATTTACAATGTTGTGTTAGTTTCTGGTGTACAGCAAAGTGATTCAGTTATATATATATCTTTTTTCATATTCTTTCCCATTATGGTTTATTACAAGATATTGAATATTCTATACAGTAGGACCTTTATAGCAGTTTATATGGAGGGTTTTATGACATGGTTCTCTATATTTGCATATGTTTGAAATTTTCCACATAAAATTACTTAAAAAAAAAAAACTTTAGCCATCAGGGAAGCCCAGAAATCTATTACCAAATGCTATAACTTGCTCACATAAAACAATAAATAAAGTAAAGCTCCCTCCCTATGGCGAGCTGCCTCATTGGCGAGAACAAGCTTCTTCTCAGGGTAGCCAGCATCCAATGACTGATGGGCAAAGCAGTATTAAATGCTGGTCCTCACACTCCATAGGCTCTGAAGGGTCATCCCATCTTGAAAACTCCCCACAGAGTCTGTTTTGGCCTCTATGGAGATAGTGTTGGACTTGAATTCTCCCTCAATCCAGTCCTGCCCCCTTCCCTTCTCACCACGGGTGTTGACTCCAGGAGGACTTCCTAATGAAACTCTTTTATGATAATCTCCACTTTAGAGTTGGTTTCCCAGGGGCCCAAGCTACCACACACCACTTTTTCCATAAGGACTATATCACACAGAATATCAAGTTCTCATCACAGAGCCAGGCACAAGCTCATAAGAAACATTAGTTGTAAATTGTTACACACCCAAGGCATGTCTTTTTTTTCCCCTTATGGTTATAGATTAAAAAAAAAACAAAACCCAAAAGATTAAAGAGGCATTCACAATATGTGCTCATGTTGCCATTTGGGCTGGAATGCCACCAAACACAAACAAAAGCAAAAACTATATATATCAGAACCAAAAAATATATATTTCATATACCATGATTCATACACCATGTCATTCATCTATTTAGTATATACAAGGAGTTGTGCAAACATCATCACAATCAATTTTGAGTGCTTTCATCTCTTCCCCCAAATACCGTCTTCCTCCTGAGCCAATTCTCAGCCGCAGGCAACCACTAATCTCCTTCCTGTGTCTATACAAGTGCCTGTTGTAGTCGCTAAGACATGTCTGACCCCTTTGTGACAACATGGACTGTAGCCCACCAGTCTCCTCTGTCCATGGGATTCTCCAGGCGAGAATACTGGAATGGGTTGCTATTTCCTTCTCCAGGGGATCCTCTCCACCCAGGGATCAAACTCGAGTCTTCTGCATTGCAGGCAGATTCAGATTCTTTACCTCTGAGTCAAAAAGAAAGCCCCATAAATTTACCTACTCGGCACATTTCATACAAACCGGATGATGCAATATGTGGGGTTTCTTTTTTTGCTGCACTGGATCTTTGTTACAGGGCATGGGCTTTTTCTAGTTGTGGTGCATGGGGCCTTCTCTCTAGTTGTGGCGCTCAGGTTTAATTGCCCTGTGGCATGTGAGATTTTAGTTCCCCAATCAGGGATGGAACAGGCATTCCCCTGCATGGGAAGGCAGATTCTTAACCACTGGACCACCAGGGAAGTCCCAAAGTGTGTTTTTCTTGCATCTGACTTTTCTCATTTAGCATTAAAGCTTCTGGGTTCATCCATGCTGTAGCAAGTAACTACCTCATTCCTTTTTATCACTGAATAATATTCCATTATTTTGATTTACCACATTTTACTTGTCCATACATCAGTTGATGGATGTTTGGATTGTTTCCACCTTTTAGCCCTCATAAATAATGTTTCCATGAACATTCATTTATAAGTTTTTGTATGGACATATCTTTTGTTTTTCTCCAACTTTATTGAGATATGATTGACATATAAAAGTGTGTAAGTTTAAGAAGTATGATGCATTGATTTAATACATGTATATATTGCAAAATTATTTCCACCTCCATCATGTCACATAATTTTCCACCTCATCACATCATATAATTGCTGTTTCTTTTTCTGTGGTGAGTGTATGTTTTCATGTCACTCAGGTATATATGTAGAATTGTGAAGTCACATGGCAATTCTTTGTTTAATACTGGGTGGAACTGCCACTGTTTTCCAAAGTAGCTGTATCATTTTACATTCCCATCAAGAGTGTGGGGCAGGAGACTTCCCTAGCAGACTCTGCACTTCCACTGCAGGGGATATGGGTTTAATCCCTGGTCAGGGAACTAAAGTTTAAAAAGAAATAAAATTAAAAAAAAAAAGTATGTGGCAATTCCAATTTTCCCACATCTTCACCAACACTTGTTATTGTCTTTTTAAATTATGGTCATTCTAGTGGTCCTGAAGTGATGTCTCTTGTGGTTTTGATTTACATATCATTTGCATGTTGAACATCTTTTCATGTGCTCATTGGCCATTTGTATATTTTCTTTGCAGAAAAGTCTATCAAGATCCTTTGCTCATTTTTAAAAATTGGATCATCAATCTTTTTTGAATCCTGTTTTCTTCTGTAGGAGAATGTTATTTCCTTCACAGAGTTGTGAAGATTCGTGAGAGAACACTGGCAAGGCACATAGTTTTCGGCATTCAGCAAGTGTTCTGAAAAGTTAGGGAACCTCTCTCTCACCTTACCTCTCAGCTAGGCATTTTGCATTACATCACCTAGCGTAGCGTTTGTGCTTGAAGCCAGACTCAATAAATGTCTGAGAGGGAAAATGTGCCAATTCACATCACTCAATATTCAGATCTGAATCCTATGTGCTTTGACTCCCTTGCTCTCATTTCCGCCATTAAACCTTTTCTTCCTGGAACAATTTTGTTAATTTTATTCCCCTTGCCAGCTGCTTCCTCTCCTAAAACTGAACTTGCAGCATCATTGACGCTAATTACAAGGGAACCAAAGACACCACCTCGCACAGTTCTGGAGTGTGATCAACCTTTGAAGAAGCTAAATAACTGACAGCCTGTCAATTTAACCTGTCCCCTGTTGGAGCGCTCACAAAAGGTAATTCAGGCACCTAAAGAGGTGAGGGGGGAAAAAAAGAAATTTATAAAGAAATCCTGATTGCAGACTGAGGATTACTTAACAAACCTGATTGCAGACTGAGGATTACTTAACAGTTCAGTAACCTCTGATGACTCGGCATGCTCTGGAGCATGGGTCTCTTTTTCATTTTGTAGAGGACCCAGGCGCCATCAGATTCGATGTCGGTGGAACCTCCTCTTGCGCTGTGGAGCCTCCAGTGGGCCGGACTTGAGTGTCAGAATGGAAACAATTCGCCCATTCATTCAGGGAGGCTGAGTCCAACTTGATCTCACACTGAACCCAGAGCTTGCTTTGGTAAACCTCCGCTTAAGCGCCTGGGGCATAATGTGAAAGGGCGGGCATAATGTGAAAGGGCAAGCACAGATGAAAGAAGGTGTGACTCATTTCACATTGCCCTTTCTTGAAGGTCAACCTAATATCAGATACCTTGGAGAGAATATATGGGTGTGTCGAGTTGCCTGATCGGAGGATTTGTTGGAGGATTTGCCTAAACACCGAGGGAGGTTAAAGGGTGTGTTGGATTCAGAGGCAGGTCCGTGGCCTGGGAGTCCAGGGCAGGCTTGGAGAGTCGCTGGGGTGCAGGGACCCGCTCGAATTCATCTTCCTATCACGGGTCTAACACGGTGGTCGGCTTGCTCACTTGCCGGAGCCTGGCCTCAGGAGGGAACTGGACAGCGGCCCCAGGCGGGACGTGTGGCCAGGTCGCACCCCTGAGCGTCAGGGAACTCGGTGAGGGGACGGATCTGACTTGAGCCCAGTGGGCGCGGCCACCGAGAGGCGCTGGACTACAAGTCAGCCCTGTGGGCGCACGCTCTGCGGAGACCCGGTCCCCGAACCCGCCCCAGGCTGCCTCCGCCGCCGAGGAGCAAGGCAAGGCCTCGCGGGATGTGCCAGCCTGCGCGCCTTATTGGCCCTGGAAAGGGATTGGTCCAATCTGCGGGCGTGTGGTTCCTCAGAGTATATAATGTAGGCGATTAAGTGACCGGATGAAATTGTGCCGCAGGAACCCGTGAACATTTGAACGGACGTACAAACTTTTTCATAATAAGAAAAATGCAAATTAAAATTTTACTGAGCTAACATTCTGACCTATGAGATTGGCAGAAGTCCAAAATTCAGCAAGGTTCTCTGTTAAGGACAGTGCAATGGCCCTGATGGAATCTAATTTTCTTCCTCCAGAAGCTTATGGTTGTTTCCTTTTGCTTTCAGCTTGCAGAGAAGACTATGTGTTTGTTGCACTGTCTCCCAGAAACTTTTAAGAACAAGTTCTGATTCTGCAAGTACATTTTCCCGAAGGGGCTTCAATTTTCCTGATCTATAGCAATATTGATATCTGGTAGGACATATGGGTGTCAATTGAAAATGGGTTTAAGTGGACTCTTCTGGCCACTGGTGTCCCAGTGAAGCAGATGAAGTGACAGAAATCATATAAGCAGAAGCCAGGTCTTATCTGGAAATGGCATCAAAGTCACCCAATGATGGTAGCAAGCCTGCAGTGCTTCTGTGGAGCATCAGAGGTACAGAGCCTGGGCAACAGAACCACTACCCAGGAGTGTCACGTATGCTGGGCACTCAGACACTGGCTTCTAAGTTACCATCAGGTGACAGAGTGATCCTGTCTATCTGTACCCTACCCCCTTCTCACAGAGCCCCAGTGAGGTTCAGTGACCCGCTCCACTGCATGACTATGTGCTTAGGGGACGCTGGTCCCAGCCCCAGGCATCTCAGCCAACCATGGTGGTCCCGTCTCCTTGCTAGTGATTGATGAGGGAATGGACACATGACATTCTGGCCAGTTGGTGCACCTGATTCAGGTGCCTTACTCCTTATTCCTAGAGACACAAGCAAGAAATGTACCTTTTCCTGCTTCTGAACTTGACATCTGAACTCCTGCAGCCGTCTTGCAACCATGAGGAGAGCTGGTTTGTGACAAAAGCCCACAGTGCAAGGAAGTCCAAGCTAAGAGAGTTATAGCTTGGGCCCTGACTCTTCTGGACCTGAAGCCATTCTGTTTTTGGACTCCTCTCATGCCCTGGTTCTCCTCTTGTTTAGGATAACTGAGTTGGACTTTTCAGTTCTTTGCAGTTGGACTATCTTAAGCTGAACCAAGTGTAGACAATTTCCTTCAATGTACTTTTTCTGTAGTCATAAGAATTTGGACTCAAGTACCCACAAGTCATTTGTTTGTTTGATAAAATGAGAGAAGGGCTGGAAGAAGGAGGCGAGGAAAGAGACATAAAGTGGCTACATGGCAGTGCAAGTTCTGCTGACATGCATTTAGGGCGGGCGGGAAGGTAGAAAACAACCTGGTTGGCGGGGGGGGGGGGGGGGGGGGGGCGGTCCCTGGGACACGAGAGAGGAAACAAACAATACTTAAATCATAACATTTTAAAACAGCAGTGACACAAAAGATAAAAATAATATTTAAAAAAAGAAAAAAATACTGACATTTGGATATAACAACAAACACAGAGAGCAAACCCTCCTGTTGTGAACTGTCAGCAAAGAAGCTAAAGCAATTACTGTGACAGATGGGGGAAGGGGTCTGGGAAAAACTCTAAAAAGCACGAGAGGGGGAAGGAAAGTTCACTGTGTTCCCCGTGATAATTATTAAATTGAGGTTCGTAAAACGCCACTGCTGCTTTTACTTTCATGTGTTTAGTTTTATTTCAGCAAATAAAAAATATTTTCAAGAACTTTCTTAGGTTATCCCCTTAGCGTTCCCTCCTTAACTCAGTTGGCTGTGGGTTTTTCAGCCAGTGGGGTGATCAGAAGCAGCATCTGGACAGCATGAAAGAACCGCTGTTATTGTCATCACTGTGCATTCACTGACTCACAGAACTTTATTGATGCGCTAAGGTGGTCCAGACACTCTTCATGAGGTCATTTTGGCATTTTATTGAATGCTAACTGGTGAGGTTTTCTTTTCCTGCATGTGCACCTGGCTTCTCCAAAGGTCTTGATTTTTATTTGTTTGTTTATGGCTGTACCTCGCAGCTTGCAGGATCTTAGTTCCCTGACCAGGGATTAAACCCACACCCTTGGCAGTAAAAGCACCGGCTCTTAACCACTGGACCAGCAGGGAATTCTCCTCCATAGGACTTTAATTTCTCTAAAGGGAGAGACTGTGCTGCGTATTTTATTTCTATTGACAGTGTCTAGCACAGGTCTAGGTGCATGATGAGCCCTCACAGAAATCTTAATTATATATAAAGTAAGTGTCATGGTTAAATAAGAGATACTATTAGAGGGCCCCAACTCTGATATCGTTGCTTTGTTCCAGGATGGAAGGTGAGTCTTTGAATCAGACTTTTTTACTTTTTTAGAGATGCTCCCCTATGGCATGCTCCCATACAGTGACAGAAGCTTCCAGAAAGTCTTCCAAGGCAGAGGAAGGTATAGTGTTAATAGGCTTGATACTCGGGCAGCGGGACCTGATACTCTCCCTCCTTACAGCATCCCTGAATCTTTTCCACACTGTGTGCTGGGTTGGGGGGGCGGGCAGGGTGGGAAGCTTAGGCTTTGAGACAGCTCTTCTGGGCAGCTGCTTGCCTAGGATCTAATTTGGATCAGATGACAGTTTCAAAGGGGAACCCATGTCACAGCTGGGCCCTCCCCAGCAAACAGAAGCCAAAGGATCAGGGACGTTTTTTTCTCCTTTGAGGACAACTATCCTGACTCCTGTAACATGATATCTAAACTGCAAGATCTGAGAAACTCTGTATATGCTACATCTCTACATCTATGTACATAAGATAAAGGGAAGCCTACAAAAGTCTGCGAATAGCAAGGGTGTGGGTCCCAGGTGGGGGCAGAGTCGTGGCCCAGCTGTCACGGCTCAGCTCTCGCAACCCAGCTGTCACGGCGTCCTGCCAGGCGGAGGCGGCCTACATGTCGTAGAGCCGGAGCTGCTCCTGCACATCACCATCGGACATCTCGCCAAACGTCTCCTTGTTGTCCTTCATGAGCTTGAAGATGGCAGCCAGCTGTTCCTTCTGAACTCTGTCAAGAAGAAAGGATAAAGAGGAAAAAGATGCTCCCAAGCCAGGGAGAGACAGAGGCTTATGCATCCCATAGAGTCAGAATAAGGAAATGAAACAAAGACCAAACCCGCTCTTAACACAGGAGCTCTTTTGGTCTTAAAAAAAAAAGAAAAAGAAAAGAGCCTTCTACTAACTGGGGTTCTAAGTCTTGGGGTCTGCCCTGGAGATTTGGGGACCCCAGGTTATCACTCAGGTTCTTGTGGGGACCCCAGGTTATCACTGAGGTTCTTGTCACTGCACTTCCCCATGGGCCTCCCTTTAATGTTGACTGCACATCTCTTGGGGGGTGGGCCACAAGGAAGGAGAGGTGTTCCACAGGTGACTGGAGAGCCTGAGAAGAGACATGTTAGAAACAGCCTTTGTTTAGCAGGGGTCCCCAACCTCCAGGATCTGATGATCTGAGGTGGGGCTGATGTAATAATAACAGAAGTCAAGTGCACAATAAATGTAATGTGCTTGAACAGTTCTGAAACCACTTCCTCCCACCCCCGGCCCTGGGCCACGGGAAAACTGTCTTCCGTGAAACCAGTTCCTGGTGCCAAAAAGGTTGGGGGCCGCTAGGTTAGACGGCTGAGCCAAAAGTGGAAGAAGGTACAACACAATTGGCTGGGAAACAGGGGAGCATACAGATGTGTGCACAGCGTGCTTGGCCCAGGGGCAAGTGGGGGTGTGGGGTCTCACTGCCCAGAGGAAGGGACGCCTTTTTCCAGGGGCTCTGCCCCTCCTACCAGGGAACAGGCCTGGCTGGAGGTCAGTTTTATGTTCACTGCACCTAGGCTGGGGGGCTGCGGGCTGGGAGTGATGTTCTGTCATCTCTGTGAAGCTGGGCCCCGTCATCTGACCAGCACAGGACGCCTCCCAGCAGCGCAAGCATGAAGGGGTGGGGAGACGGCCGGCGGCCGCGGCTGCTTTCTTCTCGGTTCTGCCCCGCTGTGCTGTGCTGTGCTGTCTGCCTGGCTCGGCCCTGCATGCTGGCACGGGCTCACCGCGCCACTTTCAGGCTTCTGGGATTCCTCCCTCCACACTGTGCCAGCAGATCGGCACGGGCCACCTTCAGAGGATGTCAAGCAAACAGCAGGTCTGCTCTGGTCCCTGCAGACCCACCAGGAGGCAGCAAGTCCAAACAGCAAGTCGCTGGTTTTCTGACTAGAGCAGCAGCTAGAAGCTGAAATACTGAAGTCCCACATCCAAGCCTCTCTCACTCACCCTAGAGAAGTTATTTCTACAATTCACTTTCCTATCCAGAGGAGAAGGAACCTATGGGAAGTCCGCGGTGCCCTACTGCCTGAAGAAAGGAATACAATGGGTCAAGAGGCTGTGAGTTGAGCTCCTTGGATGGAATCCAGATGTACAAGTGGGCACCCCCCAAAGGAACACAAATCCTCCCATGTGTCTCTAGGAAGTTTTACTTTGCTGGAGAGTAACAGGCACCAATTGAGAGCGAGCTCGAATTTTTATGGGTTCAAAAAGATATTTTTGAAAGACAAAGCAAAACGGAAATAAACACGCAGTAACCAAGACCATCTACTCAAAGTTTATTGGACCAAAGGCTGAATACAGAAATCCAAGCCATAAGGAGTACATGAGGTTTGGTGCCTGCAAGCCACATTCAGAAAGTGTCCAGACAAACTTCATAACCTGGAGAGAGTCACCTATTTTTTTCAATCAGACACTGGCCTGGACAATGACATCTCTTAATACCGCTGTGTGGGGCAGGGGCCGCTCAGAAGAGCACATCTGCTATTTGTTACATGGTTCTGTGTGGCTCTGCCTTTGTTCCCTGTTCTGTCCTAAACCCATGAACCTGAAGTACTAGACCTGGAGGAGAAGGTCCCTGGGAATGTAACATGCCCTGGAAACTGACATGGAACGTTTCCCAGCCTTGCATTAGATAAAAAAAGAAATTTTCCTATAAACTTAGTGCTTTAAAAAATGTTTTAACCAATAAATCTAAAAACTGCAGATTAGTTTGGTATAGTATAAATATCGTCCAATATAAAATTCCAAGAAATGGATCTGGGACCCCATCTGATGATCTGGTGAAGTTCTAACTCATCTATGAAACCGAGGCAAAGGCAGAACTGATACATCTATTTTAAGCGAACACTATCTTTATTGCTTCTGCTAAAGTGAAGGTGAAGATGCAGCTGAGCTGGTAAGAACATGGTGAAAAGGCCTCTTGGCAACAAGAGGGCTGGATCCAAGCCTGCTCTAAGTGGAGGGTAAGGGCCAGAGGAAATCAACAGCTGGTTCTGGTGCTTTGCTGCCCACGCATCAACCATCGTCTCCCTCACCCCCCAATCCAGCCAGCTAAAGACAGAGGGGAAGCGGGCCCTAAGGGGGAGCAGGGCAGTCGACCCCCCTGAGCATCCAGTGGGCCCAGGCAGCACCCCATCATGTGTCCATCACACCTCAATGTCTCTCTTGGTTTGGCTTCGGTGATGAAAAGCAGAAGGGCTGGGATGAAACTATACTGATTTTAAAATGATGGCATTGGTGACACTGGTAATATCTCAGGTGTAAAGGGCGTGTGGACAACAGGAACACTGAGTGACAAGGAAAATAAAAGTCCAGGAAAATCCTTCAGCTAAACAAAGCAATCCACGCAGACAGGGAGGAACGCTTCTGCAAGGGATCACCCCAGGCACTGTGGACCCTCCCAGCCAAGGAAAGTCCTGGAGGGGGGGTCGACTCCTGGCAGATTTATGTAGGAAAATGCACCCCAGGAGCCCACTCGCTCCTCTCTGGGGCTTCCACTGTATCGCTCAAGTTTTAAGATGCCAAAAGGAAAAGCCTTTAGGAGGAGCCTAAGGATAACTTCATTATTCCTCGGTTCTGTAAAGAGAAATAAGGGGAAAAGATCATTGATTTCACTCATACCATCCTACTGCGGGAAAAGAAGGGGGGAAATAGGGTGAGGAAGGGGAACGTTTGGAATTGCAGAAGCCAGCCCAGATGCTAGGATTCAGACCCCAGGGGAGTTTGCCTCTTGTCACCTGCAGCAGGATGGCCCACTAACCAAAGCCAGCCTGAGACCCTCTGCCAGACCTACCGCGAAGAGGGTCAGGCCCCATGTGTGGGTAGTTAGGCCAAAAGGTCCCACTTGTAGGTCAGTAGGCAGATCGAGTCCTTCATGTATGTATTTAGTTCAAGTCCCACAAATGGGCAGTTAAGCAGTACCAAAGAGGGTCCCAAGTGTGGGGGACTGAGCAGGTTGGGGTCCCACACATGGGTAGTTAGGCAGGGAGGGTCCTCAATTAGGCAGTAGGGCAGATAGGGGCCCAAGGGTTGGTAGTTTCGCAGCCAAGTTTCCACTTGTAGGTAGTCGGTCAGGGTGGACCTTCAGTTAGATAATTGGGCAGGCCAGGGCCCACACACTGATAGTTGAGCAGGTCAAGGGCCCAGTTGTAGGTAGTTGGCAGACTGGGACCCACACGTGGGTAATTAGGCAGGTTAGAGCCCTCACTTGAGTAGCTGGGCAGGTCGGGTCCCTTTGTGGGTAGTTGAGCGAGTTGGGGTCCACGTGTAGGTAGCTGGGCAGGTTGGGTGCTACCCGTGGGTAACTGAGCAGGTAGGGGTTGCTCACACTGGTAGCTGAACAGGACAGGCCCTCATTCAGGTAACTGTACAGGTTGGGTCCTACAGGCAGGAGCTGGGCGGGTCGAGTTGCACAAGTAGATAGTTAGGCAGGGCAGGTCCCACTTGCAGAGTGTTGGCAGTGAGTGTCAGACTTTCGTTGGTCAGGTAGGGTCCCTCACTTAGATATTTGGGGGGTTCAGGTGCCCATGTGGGTAGCTGAGCAGGTTGAAGCCCACTTGTAGGTAGTTGGCAGGGAGGGTCCCACACTGGGTATTTGTGCAGTTTGGATCTCACATGTAGGCGGTTGAGCAGGTTGGGTCCTCAATTAGGTAGCTGGGCAGATTGGGGCTCACTTGTTTAACAGGAAGGGTCCCTTAGCAGGTAGATGGCGGGGAGGGTCCCCCAAGTGTCAGTGAGCAGGGCAGCCATATGTAGGTGGGTGGGCTGACGCCTCACCTATATTTAGCTAGGCAGGTCAGACTGCGAGGGTCAGATTCTTGGCTTTGTGCCGTTCTAACCTGGTCCTCTCACCAAAGATTATTTCCTGTCCCTGCTAGGTGGGTTTTGTCCCTTCTGGGGACAGTGGCTTCTAAGCACATGTACTCCCCAGATGAGGCAAATGGCGTGTGCACCTTTTCCAAAGGACAAGTCGAGCATTCCTTTACCCAGGTGAGCGCTGAGGGGGCCCTGGGGGAATCCAACTTTATCCCTCTGGCGCCCTCATGTGGATATGAGCCAGCACGTGTTTCTAGAAATTCATGCTGGTGGATGATTCACAGACACGTCAGGAGGTAGAGGACAGAAGATCCATTCACCCTTGCTAGTTATGCATTTCAAAACATCATCCACTAGAGTGGTGTCCACTTCCAAAAGGGTCAGGCCAGTCCTGGGGACATTCAGAATGAAGTGGGTGCTTGAGTCCCGGGTCCTGATTATCAGAGCCAGCTGGTCTACCTAATGGGTTCCAATTTTCCCTGGTCCGGAAGAAGGGAAGAAGGGATGGTGTACAACAAAAAGAGTGTCCAATGGTCCCTTTTTTCTTTTTTTGCTGCCAAGCTAGAAGCCAGTCAAGCTCGCCAGTTTCACTAGCCTTGGGGGTGAGTGGCGGTGTCTTGCTGTGGGGAGCAGTCACAACCTGCAAGTCCCCCATCCCAGCCACGTTCTGAGGCTGCCTGTGGCACCTCCCAGAAGAGCTGTGGGGGGCCCCATACTACTCTGTTGGTCGGCTTAGTGAATTTAAAGTCAAGAATTTGCAGCATGGGCTTTTAACCCGCTTGCCACGTGATGGGGACCCTGAATGCCAGGAAAGGAATTAGAAACAAGCAGAGTTTGGTTGACTAGAATTTGACAGTCAAAGAAGAGCACACACTTTTCACTGGCCTGTGGTTTTGGTGGTTTGACGGTATTTTTCACCCTGACAATCCCAAGGCAGTTTTCTGAACCTAACCAGGACCAGAGCTGTCTCACCCCCATCAGCTCTACTGGTCCCCAGGGGATCTATCTCACTGTAGATGGAAAGACAAAGCCACACTTGCCAGCCTCTGCAACCCCAAGCATCACCATGCGAGGACCATGCGAGAAGGGTGGGCGTCATGGGGCCCCGTGCAGTGCTGAGTGGGCTGACCACATGCAGGGACCATGTGCAGCTGACCACGTGCAGGGAGACAGCAAGCAGACCCCACAGGCAGACGTGTGTGGCAGCCCCGGGAGCATGCTGGGAGGGGCGGTAATGAAAATGAACATGAACTCCAGCCCTGTCCTGGGAGGACCGTGTTCACGGGCCACTAAGTCCCCCAGTCCCTCCTTCTCAGTTTGGGCAGGGCTGTGATAACCAAGCCTGCAGGTGAGGAGGTGAGAAACCTTCACCCCAACAGCAGCACTCGGGCAGTCTCCACTCCCACAGAACAGCACTTATCTGGAGAGCCCCAAAGATCCAGCTGGGAAAGAACCACACACACCCCCCACCCACCGCCCCCCGGCCAACACAGAGTCTGCTCTCTGGACACCATGGAGGAAGGACTTTCCTTCTTTCTGCCCGACGTCCCAGCTTTGAAGCCAGAGACGGTGGCAACCCCAGCCTGATCCTGCCATCCAGTCGGCTAACTGGCCTTTCCCTTTCTAATGGTCCCTCACATCTGCAGCAGACACAGAATAAGGCTGGGGTTCTGGCCACAGCCTCTGCCCACAGGGGCCTTCGAGGGACCCACAGGCACATCAAGCCCCCTCCATCCTTAACGCTGGGCTGCACACCTTTTCTGGGAAGGGCCAGGTTCCGACTCTTTTAGGCTTTATGGGCCCCATGGTACCTCTGACACTGCTCAGTTCAGCCCCTGCAGTGCAAAAGCTGCCACAGACCACAGAAAAACAAATGAATGCAGCCGGGTTCCAATCACACTGGATTTACAAAAACAGGGCCGTAGTCCTCTGCCAACCCTTGCTCTGATCATAACCACCCGCCTGACCCACAACTTGGCACAGGGTTTCTGCTGGGCACTGTTCTTTCTTTTGTTGTTGTTCAGTCGCTAAGAGGTGCCCAACTCTTTGTGACTCCGTGGACTGCAGCACATCAGGCTTCCCTGTCCTTCACTGTCTCCCGGAGTTTGCTCAAACTCATGTCCATTGAGTCAGTGATGCCATCTAATCATCTCATCCTCTGTCGCCCCCTTCTCCCCTTGCCCTCCATCTTTTCCAGCATCAGGGTCTTTTCCAATGAGTCGGTTCTTTGCATCAGGTGGCCAAAGTATTGGAGCTTTCTTAGGGTAGGACTAAGGCTGCAGGGGCAAACACCACGTTGTCGGGAGGACAGTTTCCTCCCAGGCTCACAAGGGGGCGCTGGTCCTCCAAGCAGCTGGTTCATTAGGTCCAGGAGGGACTTGGGCCTCCAAGAATCCCTGGGCCGTGGGAAAGGGGCCTCCTGGCCCAGGAGCCCTGAGCTAGATGAGAATGAGCCGGCCCGGGTGCACAGAAATGAGTTAATTGGTTATGAAGGCGGCGGAGGAGGAGAGATTTAGATCACAGTCGTGATGGGGACAGTCACAGACAGGATGAAGGAGGCACCACTAATCTAAGAAGTCAATCTCCTTACCAAAAGGATTTGCAAGAATATTTGTGGCTCAGGACCTAAGGAACTTGCTACAGGGAAGTGAGGTCAGAAGTCAGCTCAATCCTGAAATATAAAGGCAGCAAACCGGGTCACACCCAGAGGCCGCGGTGCGTGGGCACCGAGGAGTGGGGGCATACCTCCCCCAGGCCGGGCTCACCCTGCCACCCCTCCACCCCTGGGTGAAGAGCCTTCCGGGCCAGCTTTGGAAGGATTGGCGGCAGCTCCAGGAGGGGAAAGGGCTTCTCGTGGGCAGAGCCTCTGACTCCTGAGTAATGCTGGGTGGGTTGGAAATAATAGAATCTAGATCCTGGAATAACAGAGCCTCCATTCCTGACCCTAGAATCCAGCTTGCGGTAGCCAGTGGGGAGTGATCGCCCAGCCCCTCCGGGTTACTGGGTTCAGGAAACACGCCCCCATTTGTTAATAGAGATGTGTGCCTGCACCAAAAGGACCCCAGGCCACAGGCTGGTCTGTGTCAGACCACCGGTTCTTCCCCCGACCCGTCCCCGCTGTCCCGCTGCCCCTTAGGAGGGAAGCCCATGGGTCAGCGTGGGTGTCCGGCCGGCGACGGGCGGGGGAAGAACCCAGTTCTAAAAATGAGTTGCTGCCGTGGCTGCAGCTGCCTCAGAGCTCCATGGAGCAGAACAGATAAAAAAGGACTGCTGGCCCGGTGCTGGGGAGAGGGTGGGGATGGGGGAAGCTGGAGGGTGCTGGCGGGGTAGGGCGGGGGCGCTTGGCTGCCAGGCGGATGAGCAGAAAGAATCGTGCTCTGTCCTGAAGTGATGGATTGGTTTTGTCATGAACTCTCCATGTACCGTGAACAGCCGGATCTGCTCCAGGCTCTTCCCAAGCGTCTCGCTTTCCCCCTTTCGGTGGGGGAGGGGTGGGGGGCAAGAAAGGGCTCGGCCGCCCTCCCTCCTCCCTGTCACCCGCTCCTCCAGAGTTTCCCAAGGGTACTGTTGGGGGAAATGGAGCCAGGACAGGGGGAAAAAAGCCCTAAAACGGAAATAGGGCGGCGGGGGCGTGGCTTGCGGGAGGCCCGCCTCCTCTCCCCGCTACAACAAAGGGGCTCCCAGAGTGGCGCCTGAACCCGGAAAGCTGAGCGGCCCAGAGGAGGGCCGGGCGGCCTACCTCTGTTCCTCCTCCAGCTCCTCCTTGGTCATCATCTTCTTGTACTGGTTTCCCCGCAGCTTCCCAGGGCTGTATTTGAAGGAGAAGGCCTCACCCCCTGCAGAGACGACACCAGGGAGAGCCGGTTAGCCTGCCGGGCTCTCTTGTAAATTTAGTCCCCTTTCCCTTCCTTAGTTTCCAAAGAAACACGTGGGCCAGAGAGGGCTCCCCGCTTGGAAGAGGGGCAGACGGGGCCCCACGCCCACCCCAGGCCTGCCTCTGGAAGGATCTCCCCACATCCCTTCCACTCAGGAACCCTTTTCAGGAGCCTGAACCGGGGATGAGGCAGCCAGAATGAAACCTGCAGACACACACACACACACACACACCAGCGCCCCCAGGCCATTTGGTTCCATCCATTCTCCCAAGGGGGCTGCCAATGCAGGAGACGCTGGTTGGATCCCTGGGTAGGGAAGATCCCCTGGAGGAGGGCATGGCAACCCACTCCAGTATTCTTGCCTGGAGAATCCCATGGACAGAGGAGCCTAGCGGGCTAACAACCCACAGGGTCGCAGAGCTGGTCACGACTGCAGCGACTTGGCCAGCACACAGGCATTCTCCCAAGACCGGGCTGGGCCTCCGAGCTGCCTGTCGGCCCCTCTCCCTCAAGGGCTCTGGCCAAACAGCTTTCCCCAGGGCTTTTCTCCCCCCGTCCTGATCCTCCCTCCCCAGTGCTGCTGTGCTCATTACACGGTCAGACAGAGGGCACTTATCTCTGGGAAGCAGGCTGTGCCCGGGCGCTGCGTTCCCTGCCTCTCCCTGGGTCCCGGGTAACAAGGACCTGCAACAGGGACCGGTGACCCTCCTGCCGAGGTCCCGGGTCTTCTGGGCTTCAGGGTGCCCACCCTGCCCTCTAGGAGTGTCATGTCGGCAGGCCCCTTCTATGCCCCTCCTCCCACCAGTGATTAAAAATCTAAAAAAAACAAAAAACGCATCCAGCCCACAATGGGACAAGGGATGATGTGGGCTTATCCATGGCGTGTTTAAATAGGTCATTAAAACCAGTACTTAGGGAGACCTCCCTGGTGGTCCAGTGGTTAAGACTCTGAGCTCCCAAGGCAGAGGGGCCTGGGTTCAATCCCTGGTCATGGAACTAGATCCCACATGCTGCGACTAAGGCCTGGCACCACCAAATAAATATATATTATATATATATATAATATATATATATACACACAATATATATATTTTGGGTTTCCCTGGTGGCTCCGAAGAATCCACCTGCAATGTGGGAGACCTGGGTTTGAGACCTGGGTTTGATCCCTGGGTTGGGAAGATCCCCTGGAGAAGGGAACAGCTACCCACTCCAGTATTCTTGCCTGGAGAATTCCATGAACTGTATTCCACGGACTGTATAGTCCATGGGGTAGCAAAGAGTTGGACACGACTGAACGATTTTCATTTTCATATATATTTTAAAGTACTTATTACTGAATGGGTGTTCCCAGGCTTGCCAAACCCAGAGCAGCCTTCGTAAGACCTTGTAGCTGCTTTGGAATGTACAGAAGGGCAGTTCTAGAGGCCTGGGAGAGTGTACCAGGGGGTCTGGACAGAGAAAAACAGGCATGTGTGATGTGGGGAGAAGGCTGCAGGGCAGAAAAGGAAAGAGCTATGAGCATTCTCCTGGCCGAGTGTCCAGTGGAGAGCATTCCCTTGGGAAGCAGTGCCCTTACATGGTCCTTCAGCTCAGCAGGTGAGGGGCAGACAGCCTCCGGCCAGCCTGGGGGACCGAGGCTGAACAGCTTGTCTTATCTAATTTCCGTTTATGTATAAAGAATTGAGTATGGGAAATGTAGAGACCAGCAAATCGCCTTCCCACACAGATGTCTTCTTTTTCAGTTCTGTTCTGTCCTCAAATGTCAGGGATCTCAAACACCTCCACATCCTGCCCTGGGGCCATCCAGACGGTCTCCAGCTGGAGGTTGTCCCCAGTGATCAGACAGGCTGGCCTGGGCTCCAGGCAGGAAAGGGCTGCAGCCTCTGAGCCTCGCGTTCTCTCTGGGCCAAAGGAAGAAGGTTCTGGATGCAAATTCAGAACCTGGGGGTTGTCGTGGGGGTGGTGTTTGCTCTCACCACAACTTTGCAGGAGAATCTGGCCCCCAGGGCTGAGCACTTCCCTCACCCCACGTCTGGACAGGGATTAATTTGCTCTTCATTCATTCAGCAAATATTGATATTCAGTGAGCACTCTGCTTGGTGCTGGGGGCTTAGCAGGGAAGAAAGTATAGAGCAGGCAAAGATGAGTAATCAGAATAGCAGAGTTTGCAGTTGGTCCTGAGAGCTCTTCAGCAAAGGACAGTGGGAGGGGAGAGGAAGGTGGGCAGGGCGCTGCTTGGAAGTTTAATGGCAGGGGGAGGGCTGTCAGGGAGGGCTTTTCAGGTGAAGCTGCAGGTCTGGGGAGACAGATCTAGTAAAGCAAGGAAGCCAGTGAGGCCGGGTGGCAGGAACTAGGGGACAGGGGGACATGGGATGAGCAGCCGAGGCGCCGGGGGGGCCTTATTATATTTCTGTTAAGGTATAAAGAATTGAGTATGGGAAACGCAGAGACCAGCTGAATATTTTTTGCTCTTCACTCTGTACTTGGCTCTTCATTCATTCTGCAGTATTTGATGAGTGAATGAAGAGTACATTCTTCCTCTTGGTGAGCTGGGGCTGTGGCTTGGTGCTGAGACCGGATGGGCTGGCCCCTCTCCCTGGAGACCCCGCTCCCATCAGCTGCTCTCCCCTCAGGCTGATGAGCCAAGGGCCCGCAGCATTGGGAGCTTCCAACAGCTCAGGGCTTGGACTGTGACATCCGGGGATCTGGGAGCCAAGCTGAGCAATTCGGGGCCACCGTTTGAGGGGCCAGGGGTCTTTGGTGGTCAGGAAGAACCTGCCAAGGGGCAGAATCACATGGAGCTAGTATCAGAACGAGCTCGTGGTCATGCTGGACCTCAGGAAGGGGCAACGGACAAAGAAAACTGATTAACCTCAACGTCAAGGTCATAATGTTGCTATGTTTTAGAAACATAAAGCAGAAAAATGCTGCCAGCTGGGTACTGCTGAAGGTTTCAATCGGTGGGGCGGGTCTGATGATGCTTCTCCCGAGCTGGAGAGAACAAACCACTTGAAAAGGCTTTCGCTTAATCCCATATGGTGACCGAGGGACACACAGCCACATCCGAGGCGGCTAGACCAGGGAGGGGTTCAACGTGAGCGCCCCCCGGGGAGGGGGACTTCCTCGTGCCCTGCCGTCTTCTGTGAATCCGCCCAGTCACTTGGGGAAGGCGCCTTGGCAAACACTAATTAATTAGCAAGCGGAACTGCTCACTGCAGAGGGCCTGGGGGCCTCTCCTGTGCACTTCTGACAGCTGGGGCCCTACACCTCTCCTGCCTTGGCCTCCAGAGGGCTGCCGGGAGGCGGCCTGGGGGGCGGGCAAGGCCCAGGAGCAGCAGTCGCATGGGGCGGAGGGCCCCGGCAACCCTGCACACGGCTGGGTGTGGGGCGGAATGTCTGACAGTGTTCCAGAAGAGGGGTCTGTGGGGCCTCCCCTTGTCCTGGCCCCCCGGGGCCGCCAGCAGTCTCGGCTTTTGCCTTCTGCATTCCCAAATCACTAATAGGATCCAATGACGTGGCAGGGACAGGACAGCAGCAGAAGGGGAGCCCCCAGCAAGGGGCTGATGTCCACCCCCGCCCAAGCCCCATCCCCCGAAGCCTTCTGCTCCACCCCCTTCCCCTAAGCTGTCTGGATAGAAACCCAAGGCCCTTTCCTGCTGGGCCTCCAGGTGGGGGAAGCCTCCTCACGCCCCCCTCCCCCAGCCCCAGCCCAACCCTGGCCGCCTGGCTCACACCACCAGCCCCGGTTACTGCATTCCTGCAGCCCTCTCTTTCTGGGGCCCCTGCCAGCTGTTGACTTAAAAATCACAACAGTCCCCCTTTTAAAAAATCTTGAAATATTTCAAATGTACACCAAAGTACAACAAGTAGTAAGTCCTCCGGGTACATGCCATATAGATTTGACCAGTGCTGACATTTTGCTATTTTTGCTTCAGCTTCTTCTTCCTTTTCTTTTTAAATAAAGAAATAAAACATGACAGATCCAGCAGAAGCCCCACCCTGTGTTGGGTCCCATCTGTCTGGGGCGTTGGTCCCTGTGGGTGCCCAGAGCAAACACATTGTTTCCACCCAGTTAAGTCTGAATTGGTCCATTTCCTCCAGGCTCCCAGTCACCCCGTGTCTCCTCCCCCAGCCACCTTGGATCCGATGGCCACAGAGGTCTGGCTGATCAGCTAGAGCTGCTTGGAAATCAGACGTTTCCTCTCCGGGGAACTTTAACCTGCAGAACCCAAGAGGCGGCCCTGAAAGTGACTTTAGTCTCTGTAAAATAGGTCCGAGGTATTTGAGAGAAACATGAAATGCACAAAATGAGGATGAGAAGGGAGTTAGGCACCGCAGGAAACAGAAGGTCAGTGATGGGCCATCTGTATTTGCAGACAACTCATATTGTATAGATGGGCTTCCCAGGTGGTGCTAGTGGTAAAGAACCTGCCTGCCAATGCAGGAGACATAAGAGACTCGGGTTTGATCCCTGGGTCGGGAAGATCCCCTGGAGGAGGGCATGGCAACCCACTCCAGTATTCTTGCCTGGAGAGGAGCCTGGTGGGCTACAGTCCATAGGGTCACAAAGAGTCAGACATGACTGAAGTAACTCAGTGTCCATGCATGCATACAGTATAGATAGAAAAGCAATGGCCAAAGAGCAAAGCGGATGGGCAGGGAGATGGGTGCGAAGGCGGGGGTCAGAGAGGAGATGGCTCTGACCTCAGTGTTCTCCAGGTTGCATCAGCCCCAACTTCTCAGTCCTTCTCCCCCTCCTCTCCCCCTCCACCATCCACTCCCCTTCATCCTGCCACTTGAATCCTCATCTGGGGAATCCAATGGACCACGGCAAAGCCCAGCCCCCACAGCCAGAGGCGATAATGCCGACCTCCGGAGCAGCAATGTGCAGCCTGGAGGCCGGGTCCCACTCACCGTCTTCTTCCTCAGGCCCTGCTTGCGGTGGACCCTCCTCACCGTCCAGCTCCTGCTCCTCTTCCTGCAAGACAAGGAGAAGGGTCAGTGCCCAGCCACCAGGTTTACTCTTTGATACCAGACCATCTGACGTGCCTCTTGAGAAACCTGTATACAGGTCAGGAAGCAACAGTTAGAACTGGACATGGAACAACAGACTGGTTCCAAATCGGGAAAGGAGTACGTCAAGGCTGTATATTGTCACCCTGCTTATTTAACTTATATGCAGAGTACATCATGAGAAACGCTGGGCTGGAAGTAGCACAAGCTGGAATCAAGATTGTCGGGAGAAATATCAATAACCTCAGATATGCAGATGACACCACCCTTATGGCAGAAAGTGAAGAAGAACTAAAGAGCCTCCTGATGAAAGTGAAAGAGGAGAGTGAAAAAGTTGGCTTAAAACTCAACATTCAGAACACTAAGATCATGGCATCTGGTCCCATCATTTCATGGGAAATAGATGGGGAAACAGTGGAAACAGTCGCTGACTTTATTTTTCTGGGCTCCAAAGTCACTGTGGATGGTAATTGCAGCCATGAAATGAAAAGACGCTTGCTCCTTGGAAGGAAAGTTATGACCAACCTAGACAGCATATTAAAAAGCAGAGAAATTGCTTTGTCAACAAAGGTCCAAAAAAAAAAAACAAAGGTCCATCTAGTCAAGGCTATGGTTTTTCCAGTAGTCATGTATGAATGTGAGAGTTGGATTAGGAAGAATTGATGCTTTTGAATTGTGGTGTTGGAGAAGACTCTTGAGAGTCCCTTGGACTGCAAGGCGATCCAAGCAGTCCATCCTAAAGGAAATCAGTCCTGGGTGTTCATTAGAAGGACTGATGCTGAAGCTGAAACTCCAATATTTTGGCCACCTGATACGGAGAGCTGACTCATTTGAAAAGACCCTGATGGTGGGAAAGGCTAGGGGGCAGGAGGGGAAGGGGACGACAGGATAAGATGGTTGGATGGCATCACTGACACAATGGACATGGGTTTGGGTGGACTCCAGGAGTTGGTGATGGACAGGGAGGCCTGGCGTGCTGCGGTTCATGGGGTTGCAAAGAGTCGGACACAACTGAGCGACTGAAATGAACTGAACTGAACTGACCGTCATTCAGTGTTTGACCCCTCGGTCAAAGCAACCTGACCCCTGGATCTGCTGTTAGGAGAGATGTGGGGCAGTGATGGACAGGACATCTCAGGGAGAGGCAGGGGCCGCCCAGGGACAGCCTGATCACACACAGCACCCACACTGTCCTTTGATCATTGTTGGGAGGTCCTTCCTGAGAAGGGGCCACGGTCAACAGCAGGTGGAAACAGGGACGTCAGTGTGAGTGCCAGTTGTCCGAGATGATGGGGGGAGACTCTAGGCCAAGGACCTGTGTTTTTGACCTTGACACTTTGGCTCCTTTACCTTTTCCAAGTGGGTCAAGTGGTGGGTGCCACTTTGATAAGTGGACTGGGCAACTCCCACCTCCCACTATAGTGAGTAGAACAAAAGGCACGTGGGACTTCCCTGCTGGTCCAGTGGTTAAGCATCCACCTTCCAATGCAGGGGATGCCGGTTCAATCCCTGGTCCAGGAACTAAGATCCCACATGCTGCAGAACAACTAAGCTTGGACGTTCTGAAGCTGGTGTGCCAAAACTAGAGAAAGCCCACATGCCTCAATAAAGAGCCAGTGCAGCCAAAAAAAAAAAAAAAACAAACAACCAAACAAAACCCAAAAGGCAAGAGAGGAAAGCTGGTGGGGTCTCTGGAGTCCAGGCCTTGCCGAGCATCTCAGAGCAGCCGTGTTTGCGCTCACAGTCTCCATCTCTGCTTCCTCCAACCTCTTCTCCGTCCCTGACCATTTCAGATCACATTTTCCCAAAATTGGAACTCCACTTCCCTCAGCCCAGTTCTCTCCCATGGATGCACGGACAAAATAAACAGCAGGCTGGAAGGAATGTCCCGGGATGGCCTTGGTGGAGAGGAAGGAGTGACTTCAACTTGCAGGAATGTTGGAGGATGAGAGGGAGGTGGCGGAGCTGAGGGACTGAAGGGCGCGGCGAGGGGACTGAGTAAGCCCAGCGGCAGACAGGGCAGAGCCGGCAGGTGTAGGAGAGGAGAGCCAGACGTGAACGGCGGCCCCACAGGGGACGAGGCAGCACAGCTGACAAACCAGACCCAGGCCTTCAGGCTCTGAGCCCTGGGGGTCCAGCGGTCCCCGGCCTCTGCAAACTGGGCAGGCAGGCTCCCCGACAAATCAGAGACAAAGTTTGCACAAGCCCAACAGCAAGTCATGGGACTCCCCTGGTGGTCCAGTGGCTAAGACCCCATGCTTTGGGGGAAGCGGGTTCAATGCCTGGTCAGGGAACTAGACCCCACGTCCCCCAACTAAAAGATCCCACATGCTGCAACTACGACCTGGCACAGCCAAAATAATTAATTAATATTAAAAAAAAGAAGCCAGTTGTAAGTGGCAAACCCAGAAGGTTTCCCTTGGGTCTCTTGTTGTAACTTTCTCTCTTGATGGACCCCACAAGATGCATCTAGGAGGATCAGGTTGGGAGGCGGGAGCTGGTTCTTCTCCACTTAGCAGCTTACATGCAGCTCAGCACCATCGGAGGTTTCCCAGGTGGCTCAGTGGTGAAGAATCCGGCTGCCAAGCGGGAGACACGGGTTCGATCCCTGGGTCAGAAAGGTCCCCTGGAGAAGGAAATGGCAACCCACTCCAGTATTCTTGCCTGGAAAATTCCATGGACAGAGGAGCCTGGCTGGGTACAGTCCATGAGGTCGCAAAGAGTCAGACGTGACTGACACACAGACCCATACGCTCATAAATGCGGAGAAAATGTTTTCCAGAAGCACATGCAAGATGCCATTAACCGAGACTGCCTCTGGAGAGAGGAGCTGGTGGGGGCGGCCTTTCCTTCCATCTCACCCATTTCAGTATAATTTGGATTTTCTAATAATACACATGAATTGCACTTTTAAAATGCTACACAGGGATTGCTGAACAGTGAGCTTGAGGCTATTATACCTATATTTTCCTCTAAGAAAAGAAAGAAGGGAAAAAGAAAAAAAAAAAAGATGAATCTAAGAGCTGGAGCCCAGAAATAAGCCCAATCAAGACTAGAGAGGAGGACAATTCTTCTATTGTGTGAGAGGGACACGAAGGTTAAAGGCAAAACAACAAAAAAGCAAGCACACTCCCTTGTGAAGGAACTCACCATCCAGGAGGAAAGATATAAACCTAGATAATTGCCATGCAAGAGGGGAAATTCGAGAACTGATGCAGACCTCTTTAGTCCAAAGGGACACAGTGTCACTTGACCTGCCAACACTCCCTTAGGGAAAGGCTGGTCTACATTTGAATTCTGCTCTTGACTTTTGAAGTGTGCTGCTTTTCAAAACTGGACTTCCCTGGCAGTTCAGTGGTTAAGACTTCATCTTCCAATGCAAGGGGTGTGGGTTCAATCCCTGGTTGGGGACCTAAGATCCCACATGCTCCACCACCAAAAAGCCAGAACGTAAACAACAGAAGCAATACATTCAATAACACATTCAATAAAGTAACACACTCAATAAAGGCGTTAAAAATGGCCCATGTCAAAAAAAAAAAATCTAAAAAAAAACTGGCTGTGACCCATTGGTGGGTCATGAAAGCAATTTAGAGGTTGCTACTAGTATTTTAAAAATGTGCAGCCAGTGTCTTAGTGTGGTTTTAAAATTTAATAACTTTAGGAGCACAAATGCTCGAAACATATCCCAAAATGACATTTGAAAGGTTATTTACATTTAAAATATATTGACGTTTCTTATCCAAACTCATCTAATACCACCGTCCAGTGGCTCTAGTTGATTTCCAGACTTTGAAAAAACATTCATGGACGGATGGTCAGTGACTAATAGGATTGCCTTTGTGATTTCAGCCCTGTGATCTTATGGGATTGGATGCACACGTGACAATTTAGATGTGACCTCAAGGGAGGTCGACCTGGTGTCTGAGGTGCCCAGAGGAGACTCCTCTAGCTGCCCTGTCTGTCTGGATTCTGCCAGTTACAAAGACTTAAAATGAAAAACACATCATTCAAATGTCAGGAAACTAAGTATAAAAGGAATTTAAATAAGTAAATACTCAACCAGTGTGTTTTGTACGTTTGTAGCATTTACACTTCTTAAGTTATTAAGACTTAAAACTGTACAAGACTTTGGGGGCACCCTGTATCCCAGAATTAAATTAAAGACAAATAGTGGTGTGTGTGTATGTGTGGTAGAGGTAGATACCGTTTTAAAAATCGTCTATGACTGTATAAACGTGGGTGCAATTTAAATAGATTTCTTATGGTGAGACTTGACATTTGGAAAACACTGCTGAATTGGCCATTTACTCTTTCCTGCCTGCACAGAAACCCTCTTCTTTCAAAAGGTCTTCCTTGGAGCCTGTGGTCCTGGTGGGAACTGCTAGACAGGCAGTCAGACCACCCCACCCCCGCCATGCCCTGTGATGGATTTGACAGGCGGATATGAACCATGGGCCCGATTTCTGCTTGGGCACAAGGAACCTCTGGTCCCAGAGCTGAGAGCTTGGGAGCTGGGGGTGACCCAGGGTCACCGGGTGGAGAGTCCCTGGCTGTGATTTGCCCCAAGGTCATTCTACCCCAGCCTCCCCTGTACGTGAGCGACTAAAATCCTGGTTCCACGAAAGCTCACCTGAGCTCACCTGGCTGTCAGGACAGCCAAAGTCCTGACCACTGTCACTGTCCACTCACATCCTGCTCTGCAAGCCCAGAACATCTCAGGTTCTGCCAGGAGGCTGTTGCCTGTTTGACATAGCAGCTGCTCAGCAGCCGGGGATGGGGAGTGGGGGGTTGCTCCAGGGAGGTGGTTACTTACTGGGCTTCAAGATGGTGAGCTGTGTGCACAACAGCAAAGGAAAAGAATGAAGTGAGACCGTGTGCAAAATGTCGAAGGCTTTTACTGGGAATTCCCTGGTGGTCCAGTGGTTGGGACTCAGCACGCTCACTTCTGGGCCCAAGTTCGAT